GTGGCTTGCCTAGCTCGTGACTAACTTAACCAGCGACTAACCAAGCCTATAATCGACCTAGACTGTGACTGGCCTAGCCTGTGCATGACCTTGCCTGTGATCGACCACCTAGAGTGTGTGTGACGTAGCCTATAAGTGTTAGTTTCGACTGACATAGCCCGTGTTAGGTCGGTCTAGCCTGTGTTTGGATTCGCCTGTGACTGACTGACCTAGCTTTCGACTGCCCTAGCCTGTGAGTGAGTTTAACCTGTGAGTGACGTAGCATGTGCCTGTCCTAGGCTCATAATTGACGTAGCGACCCTGCCAGCAATGTTCTTGCCTGTGGGCGACCTGACAAAGGCAAAGATAGTGTGAGTTGTGATGTGACTGACCTAGCCTGTGGCCTACCTCTCCCTCAAATTCGTGTTGTGAAGTGAGTCGGTGATAGCCTCTCTCTTAGCATCGGCTCGGACTGAGCTAGATTGCGAGGGATCTTGCCATTATTTAGCTTCGAACTGAAATATTAGTAACTTAACCTGCTGACTTTATTATGACTGAACCTGGTCTATACTGCCCAAGCCCGTGAGTGACCTAGGTTGTAACAGACCTAGTGTGTGACTGACTAAGGCCGTACCCGACCTATCGTGTATGTGACCTAGCTTGTGGATTGCCTGGCTCACAGCGGGCTCGACCCAGCCTTGTGACTCGCGAGCCACACCATGTTGACCACACACCAGCCCTCTGTGTGCCACCCCTCTGTGTGCCACCCCTCTGTGTGCCACCCCTCTGTGAATATCCTTCTCCCAACGTCTCCTCATCTCGTCCCCACTTACTCACATTACGCCTCGTCCCTCATGCCCATGCAAGTGTTTTTCTTTGTGTGTGCATTCATCACCATCTTCCTCTTTGCACCCGAACCGACCCCACCCTACCGTTCCCAGCCCTTCTCTACTTCCGTCAGGCTGCAGTGCGGGAGGCGGTTGAACGCCAGGATCAGTCATTGAAGAAACGCCGTTGAAGGAGAGTCAGAGGAGCGTATGGCTACTGAGAGAATGATGAGTGCACTGAATGACATCGTTCAAGAGGCGGTGCTGGCAGCAGTGAGAGAGGAGCTGGCTGCACACAAGGAGGAGGTGGATGAGCTGCGGCACATGCTGACAGTAGTGCATGAGGAATTGGCAGCGGTGAAAAAAGAGTTGGCAGAACACAAGGGCACTATGCCAGAGCAATGGGCTGAGAGTAGTAGGGCATTGGATGTCAGAGGGACGAGTAGAAAGAGAATGCACGAAATGCCAGCGGAGTGTGCAAGGGAGGACCAGAGGAGGATGGAGGTGCAGGAGTTAAATTTGCCACATGGCATGGAGGAACTGGCAGCCTGCAAGGAACAGCGGGGGACGCAAAATCGGAAGTTGAATATTCGGCTGGAAATCAAGCAGAGTGAAGGTGATCGAAAGAAAGCATTGGAGGTAAGTGCTTAGCGAGCATCCATGCTTTATATTTCCTGTCTCCGTAGCTATCCCTGGCAGAGTGAAGGTGATCAAAACATTGCATGGCAGGTGAGTGCTATGTGCATGCGCTGTTTCACGTAATCTAATGATCATCTCTCCCGTTCGCATGCTTATCCACTTCACTAATTAACACCAGGCAATCAAACGAGCATCACAGAAGCCCAATCTGGTCCTGAAGAATCTCCACGGCCTCTCAGACGCCATGCTCGGCCATGTGTCCACGATGACCCAACTGACAAGCGTTGACCTGAACTCTAGCTCAGGCTTCAGTGCAGAGGGCATCAAGCACCTCTATAGGCTGCAGCGGCTGGAAATGCTAGACCTTAAATCTACAGTCATCTCAGACAGTGCCTTGGAAGGCACTGCGTCCTTCACCAGTCTCAGACACCTCAATCTCTGGAGCACCGAGGTGACTGATGCTGGTCTGCCACACTTGATTGGTCTCTCCTCTCTCAAATTGCTGTGGCTTTCCGAATGCAAGGGTGTGACCAGTTCAGGCATGGTACATGTGGGGTTGCTTACAGGGCTTGAAATCCTTTGTCTGAATGGCACGGCAGTCACAGATGACGGGCTGCGGCAGCTGACTGGCCTGACCAAACTTATTTCTCTCTGGGCGCCAGAAGGGACTCATCTCCTTAGTTATGCTGTGCGCCGGCATATAGGTTGGTAATGTGACATGAGTTTACTGTGACCGTCTAGGGAATACTGAGGAGACGTGTAGGTAAGGTGGGAAGAATGGGGGGGCCATGCATGCGGAGGAGTGATGCATAGAATAGTGGTGCGCATAGGGTCCATCCACGTGATTAGGAAACTGAAACTGAGGGCGTAATGTGTAGAGTTTGTAACAGTTTGTGCACGTGTTCTTGTCTGGATTAGCACAATTGATGGTGTAGCAAACAATTTCAGAAGGGACCATGTGGCATGACTTAAAAAAATATATCGTACATCTATCCATGTACTTCATTCATACTGAATGTCCCTGATCAATGGTGGTCCAAATGAGTGGAAGCGGCTTGCTATAGGAGGTTCCGAGTGCATTCTGTTGGCAGGACTGGTTGCATATGACGGATGGCAGAGGTGAAGCAGGGAGAAGAGGGTCTGTGGTTGCATGGGAGACGGGGAGGGAAGATGTGACACATGCTGGTGCGACCAGGCATCCCTGCTTGCAGAATATTGCCATATTTCCTCCACAGAATCACCCCTTGCCCCTCGTCTCACGCTGCTCCTCCCTAGCAGCTGCTGTAAATGGCAGCATTCAGCAGCTCTCGTTTGCTGTGATAGTGGGTGGTAGTGGCTGGGCGAGTGGGCTGAGAGGGGAGTACAAAGGACAGTGTGTGAACTCCACCGAGGAAGTGGTGGATGAACAGGGGTCCAACAGCAAGGTCGTGGAGTGGAGCATCTCAGACCAATTACAAGTGCAGTGCGTCACAGGTGGACGAGGATAGATTCCAACGAGGTTGGGTGGAGGGTTTAACTTTGCTCGGAGAGTGTTTTTCTGCCAGGGGCGAACTGAAGGTGAAGGGTGGCCACGAAGAGGAGGCGCACAAGAGTGGACAGGAGCGGGGCTACGTGAGAGTGATGTGAAGTCGTTTGGAGACGTCACACAACAAGCCCAGCAGTAGGGAGACAACCGACGTTGGAATGAAATCACTATGAAGGCGAACAGGACAGAGACAGGAGAGGCATACAGGCGAGAGATAGAGAGAGGGCGGAGGTCAGTTGGCACTTTTAAGCTGAGGGAGAGGAGCTGAATTCCTGCTGCTGGGAAAGGCGAATATGAGTGGCGTGCACGAGAGGAAGTCTCGCATCTCGTACTGCTGTGATGCACACAGAATGCCCTCCTTACCTTTAACGCCGTTGTGTGCCGTCACAGCTTACCACAATACATCGATTTACTTTTCAATGGCTAACAAAATTCTTCGGCATTCGACATGGTAAAGGGCAAAAGAGAAGGGAAGGCATGAGTGAGCGGCAGTTATGAGATGAGCACTACTGTGCGTTTTGGAAATGCTGTGTGGGATAAGGATGCTTGCACAGCTGTCCCGCCACTCAACACACAGATATGGCTGCTCCTGTGGGTCAAGTGGAAATATTTGTAACGTCTGAAAACCTTTCAATCTAAATTTCTGATTATTCCAGCACCAACCGTTCTTGTTCTGACCTCTCCACCAGCCTCACCTCACTTCCCTCAGCGCCATGACATTTGGAGTGCTTGTAACACCTTTCTGCTACCGCCATCAACCAACCTCCAAGAAGGGAGGGCAGGCATGTGTGTGGGGGAAACGGATGGGGGAGGGGGGAAGGGAGGGAGAGACGGGAGCGGGGGAGAGGAGGGGTGGGGGTTGTTGAGACAAGGAGAAGGGTGGTTGAGACAAAGAGGGGGACTGGGGTGACAACAGCCGGTACTGGTGCAGGTGATGCCAAAAGGAGGGGAGGTGTTGTTCGTGGATGTGAAGCCTATGTTGCTACTGCTTGAGTGGAATAGTGTGGCAATTTTAGGCAATGGTAGAATGAAGGACATGGCACAATGAAACATGTGTATGAGAAACCAAATGGGCTGGTGTGGATGCTGGGTACGAGGAACGGAATATTGGGAGCCGGGGAGGGAGGGAGGGAGAGAGAGGGGAGGAGGGGAGGGAACAAGGGAGATGACAAGAAACGAGTTGAAGAAATGGATGTGGATCAGAGGCACACTGAAAGGGATGGGGGTAACGGCGGTTGGGAAAATTTGGGAGGTTTGGGGGAAGGATACCTTGCAATGTGACCTGTCATGATGTCATGATGTGATCGTTCGAATAAACAAACGAACGAGGAACAGAAAAAGCACAGCGTAAGCCAAGTTCTTCGTGGCTGGGAAAAGTTGGGAGGTTTGGATGAAGGAACAGCGAACTGATTAGATGCTTCAATGAGAGGAGAATGGGTAAGGCGGCAAGGGTGGGAGGAGGGATTGTGTGGGGTGGAAAGGTGTTGCGATTCTGCAGCGAAGCATTCTAATATAAATATGATGATGGTGGTGGAGACTCATGATACTGCAGTGCAAGAGAGCCATCGTATGCCGCTGGAGCAAGACAATTACGTGAACACGTGCAATCTCGAATCCATGCATTCGGACCAGCTCCATGCTCTCGCCGCTGACTGCCTTCACTGCCACCAATGCTGCTGCAGCATCCTATGGCCTGCCATGCTGTCGCCTGTGTGTTGCAGCAATGATCTGGGCTACTCACGACTGGTCCAGGGCAGGCTGCTGTTGGTGTGGGAAAGGGAAGGGAGTTTCGCGGAGGGAGCAAGGAAAGAAAAAAAGTACTGCTGCGCGAGGAGAGGGGAGCGTTACAGAGGTGAAGATGCAAGGGGTGGAATGCATTCACAGCATCACATGAAGGACGTTATCACGCTATAAGCACCATCAAAGAACAAACCACGCTCACTATGAACACCAGTTTAAAGAAGCCCCAAAAACTGCAGTGTAGGCATAAGAAAACGCCGGAGCCAAGGCGGCTTTTCCCGAGCTGTGCCATGACGAGCCGGCAGCTGGCCCGGCCCGTGGCTGGTCGGATCGAGACAAGCGGGGATGAGCTGGTCTCAGCCAGTACGGCTCGTCGCCGACTGCCAGGGGGGGGGGCGTGGAACCCGTCCTTACACTCCCGGTCCCTGCTCTCCCCGTCCCTACTATCCCTGTCCCTACTTTCACCGGCCCAATTCTCCCCGTCCCTATTCTCCCCGTCCCTGCTCTCCCCGTCCCAATTCCCCCCGCTCGTACTCTTCCCGTCCCTATTCTCCCCGTCCCTACGCTCTCTGTCCCTATTCTCCCCGTTCCTACTCTCCCCGTCCCTACTCTCCCCGTTCCTACTCTCCCCGTTCCTACTCTCCCCGTCCCTACTCTCCCCGTTCCTACTCTCCCCGTTCCTACTCTCCCCGTTCCTACTCTCCCCGTTCCTACTCTCCCCGTTCCTACTCTCCCCGTTCCTACTCTCCCCGTTCCTACTCTCCCCGTTCCTAATCTCCCCGTTCCTACTCTCCCCGTTCCTACTCTCCCCGTTCCTACTCTCCCCGTCCCTACTCTCCCCGTCCCTACTCTCCCCGTTCCTACTCTCCCCGTTCCTACTCTCCCCGTTCCTACTCTCCCCGTTCCTACTCTCCCCGTTCCTACTCTCCCCGTTCCTACTCTCCCCGTTCCTACTCTCCCCGTTCCTACTCTCCCCGTTCCTACTCTCCCCGTTCCTACTCTCCCCGTTCCTACTCTCCCTGTTCCTACTCTCCCCGTTCCTGCTCTCCCCGTTCCTGCTCTCCCCGTTCCTGCTCTCCCCGTTCCTGCTCTCCCCGTTCCTGCTCTCCCCGTTCCTCCTCTCCCCGTTCCTGCTCTCCCCGTTCCTGCTCTCCCCGTTCCTGCTCTCCCCGTTCCTACTCTCCCCGTTCCTACTCTCCCCGTTCCTACTCTCCCCGTTCCTACTCTCCCCGTTCCTACTCTCCCCGTTCCTACTCTCCCCGTTCCTAACTTTAGACTGACTTGTGAGTCACCGGAGACTGACCGGAGACTGACCTGAAACTGACCTGAAACTGACCTGAAACTGACCTGAGACTGACCTGAAACTGACCTGAAACTGACCTGAAACTGATCTAAAACTGACCTGACACTGACCTGAAACTGACCTGAAACTGACCTGAAACTGACCTGAAACTGACCTGAGACTGACCTGAGACTGACCTGAAACTGACCTGAAACTGACCTGAAACTGATCTAAAACTGACCTGACACTGACCTGAAACTGACCTGAAACTGACCTGAAACTGACCTGAAACTGACCTGAGACTGACCTGAGACTGACATGAAACTGACCTGAAACTGACCTGAAACTGATCTAAAACTGACCTGACACTGACCTGAAACTGACCTGAAACTGACCTGAAACTGACCCGAAACTGACCTGAGACTGACCTGAGACTGACCTGAAACTGACCTGAAACTGACCTGAAACTGATCTAAAACTGACCTGACACTGACCTGAAACTGACCTGAAACTGACCTGAAACTGACCTGAAACTGACCTGAAACTGACCTGAAACTGACCTGAAACTGACCTGAAACTGACCTGACACTGACCTGCTGCTGACCTGCTTGTGACCGCAGGTTGCTCGGGTAGTACAAGGGTAGTCAGCGCGCCCACGCTGTAGAGGAGAGGAAGGCCATGCGGAGGGATAGTGCCTTGGTAGTAAGCAGCAGCGCAGAAAGTCTGCAACAGCAACACATGCAGCAGGCTCCGACGGAACAGCTGCTGCAAGGGGTGAGTTGGGAGGGTATTCCAAAGGATGGTGTCTGTGGTTCTTTCACAAATGATTCTTCTCCCCATCCTTCTGTCACCCACTTAAGTCACCCAATTCAGCCACCCACCTGAGCAACCCACCTGAGCTACCCACCTGAGCAACCCACCTGAGCTACCCACCTGAGCAACCCACCTGAGCCACCCAGAGTGCAGAGAATGGCCGCCACTGCCCTCATCATCCCCCTCCCCTCACGCTCATCATTATCCTCCTCCCCTCAACCGAAACACCCGCCACCTCACCCACAGTCTCGTCAACCCTCTCTTTGCTCGCACACCCGCCTTTCCCCACCCTCCACCCACCACGTCCACGCACCACCCACCATGCCCACACACCACTCACCATGCCCACACACCACTCACCATGCCCACGCACCACTCACCATGCCTACACACCACTCACCATGCCCACACACCACTCACCATGCCCACGCACCACTCACCTCCCCAATAAGCAACAGTGCGTAAGCAGATGCGAGCGGGCGGCACGGAGGGAAGGGGATCCCTGGGGGATGGCTTCTGCCGCCCTCTGCTGCACCAGACATGGGCAGTGGGGTCGGGACATGGGCGGTGGGGTCGGGACATGGGCGGTGGGGTCGGGACATGGGCGGTGGGGTCGGGACATGGGCGGTGGGGTCGGGACATGGGCGGGAGAAAGGCAAGAGGAAGAGGGGGCGGAGAGAGAGAAGAGATGGGTGAGAGAGGAAGTGCCGCTGAAGAGAAACAGGGGAGGGTGAAAGGGCGAGGGGTGGCGACAGGGAAAGGAAATGGGTTGGAGGGAGCAGAGATTGTTCAACAACAATTCGGCCAAATCGTCGGCAGTGGGTTGGTGAGAGAGGAGGTGAGCGAGAGAGGGAGGGCCGCTGCGAGAGGGAGTAACGAGGACACACAGGGAAAGAAAACGAGTGCAAAAATGGGTTATGATTGGAAATGTAAAGATTGACTAACTGGGAATCGGGCACGGGCATGGAATGCAGTGCGAGATGAGCAAGGGGATGCGGCCTGGGATTGTGGTTGTGCATAACAGAGAACCACCTGCACCTGCAGTGTTGGCATGTGAAGCACGATGAGGCATGGCGCTGCCTGTGTGGTGCAGTGCAGCCCGTGGTGGGGAGGGGAGGCTCACTGGAAGCGTGCAGGCAGAGACGCGTGGCGAAACAGGCATGGCGATGGCGTCGTGGCGTGGCGCCACACAGAGGGCCGCGCCGCGGTGGGAGAGGAAACCAACGCGACACGACACGATGCCCGGCAGCTCATGCCTGCCATGCCCGGGGAGAGGGGAGATGGAGGAAGGATGGGGACTGACGGGAGAGGGGGGAAAGGGGAGAGACGAGGGGAGAAGCGGGGGAATGAGGGGAAAGGGAGAAAATGGTGGGACCGGCGATGTGGGCGCATCCTTAGTGAAAGCTTTGCGCGATGTGGGTAAGTGCTGCGTTCACGGTGTTTTCTCACTTCGGACTCATCGCCTCTGTATGCACACTGTTGGTAACTTTACCCAACTGCCTGAGAGTGGGAGTGTTTGACAAACACAAAACTATCAGCGGGACGGGGGGGTTGAGGTGGGCGGCGCGAGCTGCGATCACGCGGGCTGGCAGGCGGGCGGCAGATGCGCAGTGTGAGGAATCAGCGCGTGAGGAGAAGAAATGGCGGCGCGGCGGGAGAAACAGCGGGGTGACGGGCTTGACGACGAGTAGAGCAGTTGACGCGTATCATATCTCTCGAGCATTCCACGTGTGAGCCGCTGGTCTGGTGAGTGGCACACAGGTGGCGGCAGAGGCCGGGCAGAGCGCGCCGAGTGGAGCAACGACGCGGTGCAGCTGGCAGTCCGCCACCCCGCGCCTCGCTCCCACGCTCACCGCCTCTGCTGCAGCCAACGGTCTCCCCCCATGCGCTCGGCCCCCCCACTCACACCCCACATCGCTGACAGCGATTCCGTGCGCAGTGAAACTCGGGGCGATACATTGAGAATGCAATGATTGAAATCTGTATTAAAAGGATTCTTCGATCTTTATGACCGTGTGCGCGTGTATGCAGCGGGCCACCGTAGCAGCAGCCATGTTGGTCCAATGAGCTATGGCTGTGTGAAGTGAACGCGGCCCGTCATACCTACTTGACTGAAAGCACAACTCCAATCTGCGAGAATCAACAGACAGTGAAGAGAAGCAACGGAAAATCATAATTGTGGCGAAATAGATTCATTGTTACGAGCACTGGGGGTGCTGCTGCTGCTACAGTGGAGCCCAAACTGCTGCCAGAACTCGTGCTTGAACACCCCGTGGTTACCCCTCCCCCTCCCGCAAACTCCTGGCCCGCGGTTACCCGTTGTGCTGCCTCCACCACTCCAGATGACAGTCGTCGCGTCGTTTCTCTGCCTCTAGCGACGGCGGCGGCGACGTCTGCGAGCTCATTCGCGGACGACGAGGATCGCGCAACGACACTGCTGCTGCTCACGGGGAAGGCACGGCAGCGCTGCTTATAGGCGAGGAACAGGAGGCGGAGGCGGAAGCGGATGCGCCGCGGCGTCGCCTCTCATCGGCCTGCCACATTCCGCGCTGCTTCTAGGCGAGGATCGTGCAGGACTGCATGCGGAGGAGCGATGTGCGGTAGCTTTGCGAATACTCCCCGTTGCGCGCAGCCTCCCAGAAGAGCAGACGCTGATTGGTGCGCTGAAACGTCAGCTGCTTCCATGCTCGCGATTGGCTGTCCAACGAGCTTTGCCGGCTCGAGTCGCGTGAGACGGGGAACATCGGAAAAACAAGGGGGTTGGAGGGGTAGGTTGAGTTTCGGGTGCTTCAATGTAGGTCAACTGAGAGTTACGCGACACCTACCTTTGAGTTGCTTTCAACCTTGGCGCCTCGGGAAAATGATGGATGACGAAAATGTGAAATGTCGTGGTGCTTGCCTGGATGTTTCTTATTGGTTTTCGATTCACACCTACGGGAATCGTGCTGTTTGCGAAATGTCTCAGCTTTGTTTGAACGTGTGGTGTTTTCGTTCGAACACTTCGCCCGATCAAATTCTTCGCTAAAGGTTCCCTTGTCATCAAAACCCCGCTATGGGACGCTGCTGTTTAGCACTAGGTTATTTTGTGGATGTTACATTTATCCCATCTACATCTAATGGATATGTTTACACACACTATTTTTAATTCCATCCATAACTTTTGTAAGACTTATGTTTAACTACTCTGCATGTTGTGGGTATCTTTAATGGCTTGTTGGCACTGCTGCTACCTTTTATTTACGCATCGTTTGCAACAACTCACTACATATTTCAACAATATGCAAAACGGTTTAGAAGCTTCAGAGTGGGTCGCGTGAAAGACGTTATGATATGCTCCGCCCGATTGATCTCAGCAAGATGAATGATTTTGTACGTATTTGCGCGACGACCAGTACCCAGCTTCAACGAGCACGTCTCGATGTCCTCCCCACGCTCCTCAAGCATCCTTACAAACGCCAATGGTACTTTGTTATTAACACCGTTCTCTCCGCGTGTCATCACGTGAAATAGCACAAGAATCTGTGCATAGACCATAGGCACTGAAGGTGTTGATTCGTCGGCAGTGAGCGACTTCAGTGAAACGCATGAGAACCAAGCTGCGCCATGGAACTTTGGGGTCGCGCGTGCGTAGTGGCTCTGGTACCCATCTTTCCCTGGTAGAGCCACGGCGGAATGGATCTGCAGTGTAAAGAACGTGGACATGCTATGGCATAGCTTGAGGGATAAAGCTAGAGCTGGCTTACATTTCTGACAATGGGCGATTACACGATCATGACATGCAAAACCCATGCTTACATGAATGGTGCTTGTGTGACACCCTGCAGCTCCAAGTGCAGAGGCGAATAGGTCCATGCATGTGCCGTGGTGCTCAGCGTAGCTCTTCCACAGGTTGTCACCACGCCTATTCTCGAGAATGTGTGGCATTGAAACAGGTGTTGATGTTGTTGTCAAAACAGCATGGCAGACCGCATCCGCCTGTTGGAAAAAGGGCGAGTGGAGACAATTTCTATTAAAATGTTACATAATATGCTTACTGTTGATTCTCGGCGGTGGGTGTGTGTGGGCTAACATGCGTGTCTAGGAGGGCTGGCATGTGGGTGTGAGTGCGCTGGCAAGTGGGAGCGTGTGGGATGGCAAGTGGGTGTGAGTGGGCTGGCATGTAGGAGCGTGTGGAATGGCATGTGGGTGCGAGTGGGCTGACATGTGGGTGTGAGTGGGCTGGCATGTTGGAGCGTGAGGGATGGCATGTGGGTGCCAGTGGGCTGGCATGTGGGTGCAGGTGGGATGGCGTTTTGGTGTGTGTCGGATGGCATGTGGGTGTGTGTGGGCTGGCATGTGGGTGTGGGTGGGATAGCATGTGGGTGCGAGTGGGCTGGCATGTGGTTGTGAGTGGCATGTCAAGGTGTTCGAGTGGGCTGGCATGTGGGTGCCGGTCGGATGGCGTTTTGGTGTGTGTCATATGGCATGTCGGTGTGTGTGGGCTGGCACGTGGGTGTGGGTGGGATAGCATGTGGGTGCGAGTGGGCTGGCATGTGTGAGGCCGGCATGTAACACTGGTTGTTAGTGGGTTGGCATGTGGGTGTCCGTGGCATGTCACGGAGGTGTGAGTGTGCTAGCATGTGGGAGCGTGTGACATCGCATGTGTGTGTGTGCGACATGTAACGTGGGTTTGTATGGGCTGGCATGTGGCTGTGAGTGTGCTTTCATGAGGGTGCATGTGGCATAGCGTGGGGGTGTGAATGGGCTGGCATGTTTGTTTGTGTGGCAAGTAATGTGGGTGTGAGTGGGCTGGCATGAGGCATACGGTAGGGGTGTGAGTGGGCTGGCATGTGTGTGTGTGCGAAGGGGTAATGTGGGTGTGTATTGGCTGGCATGTGGGAGCGTGCAGGATGGCATGTGAGTTTGTGTGTGCTGTCATGTGGGTGCGTGTGGCATAGGGTGGGGGTGTGAGTGGGCTGGCATGGGTGTGTGGCCGGCATGTAACAATGGTTGTTAGTGGGCTGGCATGTCATGGAGGTGTGAGTGTCCTAGCATGTAGGGTCGTGGGACATGGCATGTGGGTGTGACTGTGTTGTCATGTGGGTGCATGAGGCATATGGTAGGGGTGTGAGTGGGCTGGCATGTGTGTGTGTGCGACATGTAATGTGGGTGTGTATGGGCTGGCATGTGGGAGCGTGCGGGATGGCATGTGGGTTTGTGTGTGCTGTCATGTGGGTGCGTGTGGCATAGGGTGGGGGTGTGAGTGGGCTGGCATGTGTGTGTGGCCGGCATGTAACAATGGTTGTTAGTGGGCTGGCATGTCATGGAGGTGTGAGTGTCCTAGCATGTAGGGTCGTGGGACATGGCATGTGGGTGTGACTGTGTTGTCATGTGGGTGTATGAGGCATACGGTAGGGGTGTGAGTGGACTGGCATGTGCGTGTGTGCGACATGTAATGTGGGTGTGTATGGGCTGGCATGTGGGAGCGTGCGGGATGGCATGTGGGTTTGTGTGTGCTGTCATGTGGGTGCATGTGGCATACGGTAGGGGTGTGAGTGGGCTGGCATGGGTGTGTGGCCGACATGTAACAATGGTTGTTAGTGGGCTGGCATGTCATGGAGGTGTGAGTGTCCTAGCATGTAGGGTCGTGTGACATGGCATGTGGGTGTGACTGTGCTGTCATGTGGGTGCATGAGGCATACGGTAGGGGTGTGAGTGGGCTGGCATTTGTGTTTTAAGGGGAATGTAATGTGGGTGTGAGTGTGCTGGCATGTGGGACCTTGTGACATTCCATGTGGGTGTGAGTGTGAATGGGCTGGCATGAGTATGTATGTGGCAAGTAATGTGGGTGTGTATGGGCTGGCAGGTGGGAGTACATCGCATGTCAGTATGGTGTGAGTGGGGTGGCATGTGTGTTTGTGCGGCACGTAATGTGGGTGTGAGTGCGCTGGCATGATGGTGGTGCGTGGGATGGCAAGTGGAGGGCGCGCTCTGGTATGCGAGGGTGCTGGCATGTGGTGTGCGTGGCTTGGAGTGAATGGTGTGCACATCGTCTCACACCTTCATCAAAGCCGTTAGGCGATGGTTCCGCTCGCCAAGAGCGGTAGGCATGTGTAGAATCACCGAACGGACGATTATCATGCGCATGATAGCCTCCTCGTAGTCTCGGTAGTTGGATGCCCGGAAGACCCGCTTGCAGGTGGAGGAGTGGGCATGCTCGAAGAGCGCTGTTGAAAATTCAGCCGGTATGCCGCTCCTACGAATCGCATCCGGAAAGTGAACGAGAGCGTGAATCTTCACTATCCTCCACTCAAATCCGCCACGTGGTAAATTTGTCTTCAGTAGCCGCACCAGCCTGAGCACACGAAACGAGGGTGTTAATGTTTTCAAGGACTGAGCGTACTGTAAGGTGCACAATAATGGGAAAACTGGTTATGAGGGTAGAAGCGGAATGCTCACTCTGCAGTGTCCGTGAGATATTGCCGCAACATCGTCTCCGTGTACTTTGTTACACAGAAATAAGTGTGGTACCATTTCACGAATGCCCGCAAGACGGTCATCTTAACGTTAGGGATTTGTAGCCCTTCCATGATTAGCAACACCACCTGTGCACAAGGAGAGTTTAGGAGCTTTAACATCGTGTGGGGAATATCAATATGGAGCAATGATAGTCTTCTACATGCCTTTAAATCATAGGATCCAGCCACGAATTTACACACTCGGCTAAAAGGTAGAAACTCACACTAATCATGCTTGCATGCTCTGCAGCCGAGTAGTTTGCCCCAGGCTTGAAATATCGGCCATCGGCAGGAAGTTTCATTCCTGAGAACCTGTCGTCTTTGTGCATAGCCGTGAGCCGCCTGAGAGTTAACAAAGGCACAAGCGACGCATGTGTGGTAAGGCGATATACAAAGCATGCCAGAGTTTGCGTACTCGAAGACTCCAAAGCATACCTGTTCATCTCTGCCTTGTTCTCCCCCTTAACCACACACTCTAGTATGTACACCCACACGCCGATCAGAATTGCATGCAATACGTCAAGGAGGACTGCCAGATACGGATTTGCCCACGGCTTTTCGACCTCGGAGGCTCGGTTGAATTTCCATAGTACACACTGCACGGGGGCAACGATGGCACATTGGTGGTAGTGGAGAGTGGAGGGGTAGCATAGTGGCATGTGGCACTTGGACAAGTGGTTGCACATCCCCCTACACCTCACCCATCCCGCACTCTCTGCCCTTGTACATGGCACCCTTCACCTCACCCATGCAAGCACTCTCTGCCCTTGTACACAGCTCCTCTTGCCTCACCCATCCCGCACTTTCTGCCCTTGTAAATAGCACCCTTCACCTCACCCTTGTAAATACCACCCTTTACCTCACCCATCCAGCACGCTCTGCCTTTGTAAATATCACCCTTCACCACACCCATCCGGCACTCTATGCCCACGCAACTCACTGGCGATTGGTGTGTGGAGTAGTCTTCCCGTGTTTTTTTGTCGGTACACGTGGACAACCCAATCTGCTTCTCCACAGTCCGTGGATGGTTTAGTGTCGGGTCCATGTTGTCGAGGTTGTTCTTGTGGACGTAACATTGCGAGCAAGGTCTCTCGGAAGCATGTTGCATTGTGCACGTGACGCATGATCCCTCAGGGTAGTCGGTCACGTATGAGTACAACTTCGGCCACACGGTGAAAGTGTTTCCGTGGGGATCTGTCATGGGAAGAGAGCTGTAGAAAAAAACATGTGCACATACATACACGATGGGTGACGAAACATGGGGAGCAAGGACATTGTCTTTGTATTAGCGGTAAGAATATGAAACATGGCTACAAAACAGGTCATACACGATTACATTTACACGAGGCATACCTCTGGCATGCCGCAAGCACTGACTCGAGCACAATGTGCTGAGCTTTTTGGAACAGCTCCACTTTTTGAAATGGTTCCATGTCGGATTCTGCAATAGGGATGAGCGCGATCAAAACACGCCCGTGATCCTTCCAACGAAGATGGAGAGGGATGTTGGCGCATGTCAAGTAGAAAGCCCACGCCTTCAGGCGTTTGTTTCCACTAAGAAGTGTCTCGTCACTTGAAAGTATGAGCGGACACACCAGCTCGTCATCCGACAACCCAACCTGCACATGACAATTGGGGGTGGTACGATAGAGGAGCACACATCGCACTGTGATTAAAAACATGAACCACTATCCTGATACCATAACTCGCAAGCGACTTTCACAGGCTCTCACCTTCCTTTCCCTGCCAATCACCTTCATGCACGTTCCATTCCCTGCCACTCACCTTCCTTCCCTGCCTCTTACCTTCATGCACGTTCAATTCCCTGCCACTCACCTTCCTTTCCCTGCCACTCACCTTCATGCACGTTCAATTCCCTGCCACTCACCTTCATTCCATGCCTCTCACCTTCATGCACCTTCCATTCCCTGCCACACACCTTCCTCTCCCGGCCACTCACCTTCATTCCATGCCTCTCACCTTCATGCACCTTCCATTCCCTGCCACACACCTTCCTCTCCCGGCCACTCACCTTCCTTGCATGCCTCTCACCTTCATGCACCTCCCATTCCCTGCCACACACCTTCCTTTCCATGCCACTCACCTTCCTTGCATGCCTCTCACCTTCATGCACCTCCCATTCCCTGCCACACACCTTTCTCTCCCGGCCACTCACCTTCCTTGCATGCCTCTCACCTTCATGCACCTCCCATTCCCTGCCACTCACCTTCCATTCTCTGCCACTGACCTTCCTCTCCCTGCCACTCACCTTCCATTCTCTGCCTCTCACCTTCCTCTCCCTGCCTCTCACCTTCCATTCTCTGCCTCTCACCTTCCATTCTCTGCCACTGACCTTCCTCTCCCTGCCTCTCACCTTCCATTCTCTGCCACTGACCTTCCTCTCCCTGCCTCTCACCTTCCATTCTCTGCCACTGACCTTCCTCTCCCTGCCTCTCACCTTCCATTCTCTGCCACTGACCTTCCTCTCCCTGCCTCTCACCTTCCATTCTCTGCCACTGACCTTCCTCTCCCTGCCTCTCACCTTCCATTCTCTGCCACTGACCTTCCTCTCCCTGCCTCTCACCTTCCATTCTCTGCCACTGACCTTCCTCTCCCTGCCTCTCACCTTCCATTCTCTGCCACTGACCTTCCTCTCCCTGCCTCTCACCTTCCATTCTCTGCCACTGACCTTCCTCTCCCTGCCTCTAACCTTCCATTCTCTGCCACTGACCTTCCTCTCCCTGCCTCTCACCTTCCATTCTCTGCCACTTACCTTCCTCTCCCTGCCTCTCACCTTCCATTCTCTGCCACTGACCTTCCTCTCCCTGCCACTCACCTTCCATTCTCTGCCTCTCACCTTCCTCTCCCTGCCTCTCACCTTCCATTCTCTGCCACTGACCTTCCTCTCCCTGCCTCTCACCTTCCATTCTCTGCCACTGACCTTCCTCTCCCTGCCTCTCACCTTCCATTCTCTACCACTGACCTTCCTCTACCTGCCTCTCACCTTCCATTCTCTGCCACTGACCTTCCTCTCCCTGCCTCTCACCTTCCATTCTCTGCCACTGACCTTCCTCTCCCTGCCACTCACCTTCCATTCTCTGCCTCTCACCTTCCTCTCCCTGCCTCTCACCTTCCATTCTCTGCCACTGACCTTCCTCTCGCTGCCTCTCACCTTCCATTCTCTGCCACTCACCTTCCTCTCCCTGCCTCTCACCTTCCTCTCCCTGCCACTCACCTTCCATTCCCTCTGTCTCACCTTCACGCACGTTCAATTCCCTGCCACTCACCTTCCTCTCCCTGCCTCTCACCTTCCTCTTCCGTACACTCACCCTCTAATTCCCTGCCACTCACCTTCATGCACGTTCGTTGCCCTGCCACTCACCTTCCTTTCCATGCCACTCACCTTCCATTCTCTTCCACTCGCTTTCCTCTCCCGGCCACTCACCTTCCAGTCACTGCCACTCACCTTCATTAGGCATGAGCAGTAAATAGCGTACCTGCGCTTCCTCCCAAAATGTGCCTGACTGTGCAGGCCCGTATACCCGCTCGTCGTTTTCCATGACCCGTGCCGCACGGTGGACGAAGCCATCCTTGTTTTTGGGGTCACGCCACATTCGGAGCAATGCCTGCGGAACAGTTTGTAATGATACAAAATTCTGGAATTACGGGTATTCAAAAACCAGAGAGAATAACGCAATGATGTCGCATAGTTAGTGCTTGCCTCTATGGGGTCGATGTACTTGAGTTTAAACACCGTAGGCCAGTCATCCACGCGTATATCGGCGCACTTGAAATTCTTCTTCTGAATCCCCAACTTCTCCAAAGCGTACTTGTCGACCGCGTGTTTACCGTTCCATGTGCGTAAATCTTCCAGGCAGAAGTCGGGATCCTTGATTAGCCTAAAAAAAAAGGCAATGTCGCTTCCAAACATGCCGGCGCCTTTGTTGCACATTGACAGGAATCGGAACGTTTCCCTTTGTGTGTCAAACCGACGGTGCGTTAGAGTTTCTTCCATCTCAGCAAAAAACGGGTTGAAGTTCTCCGCTTAGTCCGCGCCTTCAACAGGACGGTTCACATATAGCGGGGGTGCGTCACTGCTACCATCTCCGCACGGGTTGTATTGGCGAGCGAGAGGGGGGGGTAGTACGTGTGGGTCCGACACTGGAGGGTCGGCGAGAACACCGCGTCGCGGCAACGCCGTATGGTGAGTGCGGGCCCGTTTAGCTGGACACGCATTTTCGCCACGCTCATGGTTGACGAGGGACGATTCGCAAAAGAACGTGGCGGTGCAACCTCCGCACGGGTATTGCGCCATCAACTGCCCACACTGTCATGTAGTTGGGGAAAATTAGCCAAGCGAACAAATGGGATAGGACCAAAAACAGAGGGAAAAACGTGATACACAACTCACCAACAGTATCCAGAAAATGAGTAGAACGGGTTTGGGACACCAACGCATTCCCATACTGCAGCCTCAAAGCAGTCCTGACTAAAGTGGCATTGCGACTATGTACGAGACAGTCGTTCTGTCTCACCTTCGTTGAGCATTGCTCTCGACAGCGTTTCTGGGGTTTCAATGTTTCTGATGCCTGCACGCATGGTTAGCGTGGGACCGAGTCGCGTCATCCAGTCGCTGGAATTGTTGATGCAATGCGAAATTGCTTGCCGTGCGATCGAGTCGCGGATTCAAACTCCAAGAAGTTGAGCTGGTTAGTTTGGATACGGAACATATTAGAGTGTTTGTAAAACTGTACATGTAACCCAACTAAATAAATAATGGTACAGTGGTATAAATTCCCCGTGGTAAACTGCATACCGAAGTTTGCATACAAAGATCCATTTCCACTATTATAAATTTATCAAAACAACATGCCTGGTCTATCCATATTGTTAGTCTTCTGGAACACAGCAATTATAAGATTTCATAATGGCAGGCTAGGAGTTGTGCTTTGAGTATGGACTGAGAGGCAAAGCATGGCAGGACATCCGCGTGTCACTAACAACTAGGCACACACAAACATGCTGCCAGATTTTTTGTGAACAGGGCCAGACGTTCTTGAAAATGAGAGCCACTAAAAGTATGGGCTTGAAAGATCACAGAATCAGTCTGGGGGGACTTAATACAATAATCAAACATGGAATTTCAAAAGATACAGCAACTATCTCACTCGTGCACGAACCGTCTCGTTTACATCTGCAAACACCAACGCAGCCCGTTCTTTCCAGAGGTCGGTTAAGTGCTGGTCGACACGTTGTGCCCGTTCAGTCTGGCGCCTGAAAATCCCTTCTTCGCGCAGGGACAGAGTATCGATAGCAGAGTGATCTGCTTCTAGGCCGTTCTCTTCAGCGATTATGGTGCGCCTTATAATATTCGTAGCCTCCTGTTTATATTCGCGTAATTCTTCAGCATCGCGTTGCTTAACATCCGAATAAAGTGAATCCAGAAACAGCGGGTCTCTTAGTTCTGTCAGATGCTTAGCCTCCGCTGCGGCGATTATGTCATCGAGCTCCCGCTGAGTACCCGGCCACGACGACCAATCTGTCATGGTGTTGCCGTCAGAGAAGGCTCTAAGCGGACTGCCTTAGATACTAGACAGAAGCAGTCGTTCAGTCGCTGCGTTGCATAGGACGAGGCATAACTTGGTATGTGAGTCTGTGTAGTTGTGCGCTGTTATGGGCTGTCTGTTGCGATGTCAAACTGGTCTGAAAGTCGTCACCACGTCCCCACCACATCGTGTACCTGGACTTGAAGCTCGAATCTGTCCAGTAATCGGCTACGTACTGGATGGATAAGACGAACGGCGCGATCTTAGCCCAATCACGGTGTTGCGTTGCTTCCGGCCTGATGCAATGACGATGTGCTGCTGAGGTGCACCAGCCAATCCTAAGTGTCGTGGCTCAAACATAATATCTCGGTGTGCTTCCTCTCTGGTAGGAAACGCGGGACAAGTTTCAAACTTTTTGAGCGAGGTTATGCCATACACCATTAGCCACCTTCCAGCTCACCTTATACACCATTGGTGTGATTGTTTGACCCTAAACCATCAACATACATATCTCAATCTCTCAATATTTGTTGCTTGTATAGATGTCTGGCCACTCCAATCATTCAAACATGCCAGGGAAAAAAGGTGCGACTGGTTGTTTCACCCAACACACATGCCTAGACGCTTCCCTACTCGCTCCTGTGTCCCCGTTCTCAGCAAGTTCTGAAACTAGTTTATGGAGGTCAATGCACATGTACACAGGGCTCGTTTAGAGTTCGGGCCATTCCAATCACTCTGTCACTGTCTACCATGCCGTTGCATCGTGTGCAATGGGCTGTTTACACACCCAAGCACTGACAACGCTTCCGCACTCGTACCCGTTATTCCCTTGCTCTGCAACTGATATGGGGTACTCATAGCACATGTATGAAGACCTGGTTAAGAGCACAGGTCTTTCCAATCACTCTAGCACAGTTAACCATGCCTTAGAAAGAAGTGCAGTTATCTGTTGTCTCACAAGCAACGCATGCGTTGACGCTTCCGCACTCGCCGCTTAGTTCCAGTGATTCCCTTGCTCTGCAACTGATATGGGGTACTCATAGCACATGTATGAAGACCTGGTTAAGAGCACCGGTCTTTCCAATCACCCTAGCACAGTTAACCATGCCTTTGAAAGAAGTGCTGTTATCTGTTGTCTCACAAGCAACGCATGCGTTGACGCTTCCGCACTCGCCGCCTAGTTCCCGTGATTCCCTTGCTCTGCAACTGATATGGGGTACTCATAGCACATGTATGAAGACCTGGTTAAGAGCACCGGTCTTTCCAATCACCCTAGCACAGTTAACCATGCCTTTGAAAGAAGTGCTGTTATCTGTTGTCTCACAAGCAACGCATGCGTTGACGCTTCCGCACTCGCCGCCTAGTTCCCGTGATTCCCTTGCTCTGCAACTGATATGGGGTACTCATAGCACATGTATGAAGACCTGGTTAAGAGCACCGGTCTTTCCAATCACCCTAGCACAGTTAACCATGCCTTTGAAAGAAGTGCTGTTATCTGTTGTCTCACAAGCATCGCATGCGTTGACGCTTCCGCACTCGCCGCCTAGTTCCCGTGATTCCCTTGCTCTGCAACTGATATGGGGTACTCATAGCACATGTATGAAGACCTGGTTAAGAGCACCGGTCTTTCCAATCACCCTAGCACAGTTAACCATGCCTTTGAAAGAAGTGCAGTTATCTGTTGTCTCACAAGCAACGCATGCGTTGACGCTTCCGCACTCGCCGCCTAGTTCCAGTTATTCCCTTGCTCTGCAACTGATATGGGGTACTCATTGCACATGTATGAAGACCTGGTTAAGAACACAGGTCTTTCCAATCACTCTAGCACAGTTAACCATGCATTTGAAAGAAGTGCAGTTATCTGTTGTCTCACAAGCAACGCATGCGTTGACGCTTCCGCACTCGCCGCTTAGTTCCAGTTATTCCCTTGCTCTGCAACTGATATGGGGTACTCATTGCACATGTATGAAGACCTGGTTAAGAGCACAGGTCTTTCCAATCACTCTAGCACAGTTAACCATGCCTTTGAAAGAAGTGCAGTTATCTGTTGTCTCACAAGCAACGCATGCGTTGACGCTTCCGCACTCGCCGCTTAGTTCCAGTTATTCCCTTGCTCTGCAACTGATATGGGGTACTCATAGCACATGTATGAAGACCTGGTTAAGAGCACAGGTCTTTCCAATCACCCTAGCACAGTTAACCATGCCTTTGAAAGAAGTGCAGTTATCTGTTGTCTCACAAGCAACGCATGCGTTGACGCTTCCGCACTCGCCGCCTAGTTCCAGTTATTCCCTTGCTCTGCAACTGATATGGGGTACTCATTGCACATGTATGAAGACCTGGTTAAGAACACAGGTCTTTCCAATCACTCTAGCACAGTTAACCATGCATTTGAAAGAAGTGCAGTTATCTGTTGTCTCACAAGCAACGCATGCGTTGACGCTTCCGCACTCGCCGCTTAGTTCCAGTTATTCCCTTGCTCTGCAACTGATATGGGGTACTCATTGCCTTCATACCGTACTCAGATTGCTCCAATATCAATACGAGAAGCTCATAGCATCAACTCGTAGCAGTTGTTGGTTAAAATTTGAGGCCATTCCCAGCAATCTAGAATATTAAGGCCTGCCATCGCAATGTGTCGTAGGGATGTTCCTATAACGTTATTCTGACATACAAGCTGATCTTAATGCCTCAGGTGCTCAATGATCCATGTCCTTGTATATTGAGGTTGATGGTGTTTATAAGGATTCAGTGATCAACGCTACATGTAGTGTACTTACTGGGCGGGGTACACTGTGTATGCCCACCATACTTGCAGCGTCCACATTCACTAGCAGTCGCGGGAAACCGAGAGGCGCTATTACTTTGGTGCGCTGCGCATTCCGTGTCTCTTAGATCGGTAACTGAAGACATGTATGGACCGTCAGATGCAATGCCTAGCGCGTCTCCTTACAACTCACGCACGACGTTGGGTTGTCGGTTGCGCTGCAAATTTCATTACCTCCCGACCGACGTAGTCACACTCACTCACAACGCTTCTTCAAACCCTAGCACTTACGTGACCGTTCTGTGCACCACTTCTCACGGTTGTTGGCTGGTGTTCGAAGAAGCGTCAAGCACGGTGATGTCTGTTCAATGCCTGAGAAATTATACGCAGATTAGGCCTCATTGCCGATGCGTATACACAGAACCCTCTTAGAGCTGGATGGAACGGACTATATATTTCTCAAGGAACTCAGACGATTCATACGGTTGCTGACTGTTTGTTCGAGATGACTGTCATGGTCACTGACGGGGTGACGATACACGCTGCGACAAAGGGCGGTCGCGGTGGGAGTTCAAAGGGCAACCGTGGTGGACGAGGTGGTCGTGGATCGGCTCGAAGAAGCCAATCACCTGTTCCAGAAGGTTAGTCGTAGTTACGACCGTATATACCCATTTTCCGATTTTAAAACGGCTAGACACGCTTTTAATAACCGCACTCCTGTTGTCCCCTTCAAATTGCGCATGTGCAGGCAGCAGAGGTTACCGCTCTCTGAACAATGTCTTGCAGACTGCTCCAGCTCGCAACGTCGAGACACTCACGACCGACACTAGCGGCCACGCGCCTGTATTACCGACATCCAACAATGTCGGACAGGCGGCTCCGCTTGCTCCTTCGACCTCTGGGTATCTGACTCGGAGTAACCAGCACGCTGCAGCCGCGGCACAGGCTCACTCCGCACTCCTCGCGGAGCAACATGCGACTGCCAATGCTGCGCCTGCGGGTGCTCTTGCTGCTGACGCCATTGAGCAGCACCTCCAGCAGCCGCAAACGCTGCAGCGGCTGCAGCAGCAGCATCAGCAAACGCAGCAGCAGCAGCAGCAGCAGGTGATGCAGCAGCAGTCTACCGCGGCGCCTCCAACACAGGCATCTCTCCTCGCCCCTCGTCAACCGCCCGCCAATGCTGCGCCGGCGGCATCTGCGGGCGCAAGCGGAGCGTTCGCAATGCAGCATCAGCAGCAGCAGCAGCAGCAGCAGCAGCAGCAGCAGCAGCAGGTGATGCAGCAGCAGACTACCGCGGCGGCTCCGACCCAGGTTGCTCTCCTCGCCCCTCGTCAACCGCCCGCCAATGCTGCGCCGGCGGCATCTGCGGGCGCAAGAGCAGCGTTCGCAATGCCGCAGCAGCAGCAGCAGCAGCAGCAGCAGCAGCAGCAGCAGCAAACGCCGTAGCAGCAGCAGCAGCAGGTGATGCAGCAGCAGACTACCGCGGCGGCTCCGACCCAGGCTGCTCTCCTCGCCCCTCGTCAACCGCCCGCCAATGCTGCGCCGGCGGCATCTGCGGGCGCAAGAGCAGCGTTCGCAATGCCGCAGCAGCAGCAGCAGCAGCAGCAGCAGCACCAGCAAACGCCGCAGCAGCAGCAGCAGCAGGTGATGCAGCAGCAGACTACCGCGGCGGCTCCGACCCAGGCTGCTCTCCTCGCCCCTCGTCAACCGCCCGCCAATGCTGCGCCGGCGGCATCTGCGGGCGCAAGAGCAGCGTTCGCAATGCCGCAGCAGCAGCAGCAGCAGCAGCAGCAGCAGCAGCAGCAGCAGCAGCAGCAGGTGATGCAGCAGCAGGTGATGCAGCATCAGACTACCGAGGCGCCTCCAACACTGGCTGCTCTCCTCGCCCCTCGACAGCCGCCCGCCAATGTTGCGTTCGCCTTGCATCAGCAGGAGCAACAGGGGTTTACCACGCCAATTGGCTCACCCACATCTGCCCCATTCGCATCACTGCTACAAACTCCAGTTGAACCGGCTACTGCAGATGCTTCCGTTGCTGGACCGTCGGGCCACTCTAATCTCTTTCTGCACACCAATTCTACCCTCGCCACCCACAATCCCTTACATATGCAGGCTCCACCAGCACCAGCCGACGCCACACACGGCGAGACTATGCCGCCTGCTAATGCTGACATTCATTCCATTCCCGGCACGTCTACCCGCAGCGTTGAAGAGCACGAGTATACAAGTTCCGACTCGAACGACGTTTTCGGTTCTCCGGATGATGACCCACCCCAAGCCCCGCTCGATACACAGCACTACTCCATCCAGCCAGAGACTCACATGCCGGCCTCTCCGCAGGTCAATGTGCCCGACCTTGCAGGTGCCCTTCCACCTACTCCCGTCCTTCCATCTATCCCAACAGGTGTTGTGGACCCGGGCACTTTGGATGTGGGTGACAATGCAGGGGATGATGATCTATTGGACATTCTGGCCCCCCGTGTTGCAGAATTTCCAGTGACCAGAGCAGAGTTCGATGCCATGGCTGCCCATGTCCGAAATCTGCAGCGTGAAAATCTGACGCTGCAGAACCAGGTTGATACTCTACGCCAACTACCCTCCTCATCCACCCCCCCCCCCGAGCGAGTCTGAGACTCCACGCTACCTGGCAACTCGCCAATCTGTGGGAGCTGCTGTTGCTAATGCGTACAACAATCAGGTCCCACTGAGCAATGCGATTGTGGCTCCAGAGTTTCAGGAATTCGCTCAAGTGCTCGCGACGGCAATGAGGACAATACCCCCTCAACCCTCTGGTCTAACTGTAAGTATACGTTGCACTTGTTATATACAGAGGTTTTCAACACTGTCCCACCACCCTAAATCCTTTGTCTGGAACCCTAAACCCGCCCTAGCATCACCCCTTTCCCTGCATCAACCCTGTCTCAACTAACCATCCTATGTGCTACCATTAACACCCAATTTGTCCTGCCCATGACTCCCAAACAGCTTGTCATGGACACAGCCTTGGACATCCTCTTTTGGCGAACGCCAAACGGCAGAGTGGACTTTTGGCCGCCGCGGTGCAGTATCCTCGGTGCCATGGAGGTGTCGATGGGGTACACGACCCAGGGGCAGAAGTGGAACCTTCTCCACGTCTACCATTTCGATCTAGACAGGCGGGGCTACGTCCGCGACAGGCTCAAGGAGTTCAGGCACAAGTGCCTGACAGAGGGTCGCTGCTCGGTTATCAATTCCTATGACCTGCGCATATCGCGCCCTGACAGGCGCCGGGAGGTGCACGGAAGCACAGACGTCACCACGTTCATCTCGGTCTTCAAGGCAGGTCAGTACCATCGTTTAATCACCATTTTGTAACATCAGCAACACTCTCTCCGCCATCACCCTCTGCCTTGCAGCTCCCTCTCCCAAGCATCTCCCATTGCCCTTCAAGTGGGCCAGCCGCAGGGGCGAAGGGCACAGTCGTGAGGAGCAGAGGCAGTCGTTAGCACCGGCACTCAGCCTACCTCTCTCCCCCCTCCCCGCCACTTCCCCTTCCTTTAACCCATCCTTTCTGCCCACCCCCCCTATCCCCCTTGCGCGCAGAATCAGCTGGGCCAGCAGCAGGGGAGAAGGGCACAGTCGTGAGGAGCAGAGGCAGTCGTTAGCATACCACTCATCCCACCTCTCTCCCCCCTCCCCGCCACTTCCCCTTCCTTTAACCCACCCTTTCCGCCAACCCCCCCTCTCCCCCTTGCGCGCAGAATCAGCTGGGCCAGCAGCAGGGGCGAAGGGCACAGTCGTGAGGAGCAGAGGCAGTCGTTAGCATACCACTCATCCCACCTCTCTCCCCCCTCCCCGCCACTTCCCCTTCCTTTAACCCACCCTTTCCGCCCACCCCCCTTCTCCCCCTTGCGCGCAGACTCTGGCGGGCCAGCAGCAGGGACGAAGGGCACGGTCGTGAGGAGCAGAGGCAGCCACTCACCTGCACTTATCTCACATCTCGCTCCCCTCACTGCTCGTCCTCTTCCTTTGCCCGTGCACCTATCACAACAGTCCCAGGGTCGTTCAACCTGTGGATATGGCACATGAACCAGCAAGGCATCCCATTCGCAAGCCCTGAGTTTTTGCGAGGCATTGAAGCCTCGTTCAGCCGCCCCGGGCACAGCGTGATCGTGCTCCTCCTCAAGCACATTGCCTTCTGGCTCTGCGGGGTGAGTTCATTTGTGCCATTCCGTATGCCCCGCTCCCGTCAACAGTCTGCTCACAAATGGTGCTTGTTTGCCTTTTAATTGCAGGTCGAGATGAAGATCAAGGGGTCAGGCATGCAGCCGAGCAACAGAGACAACCCGCCGCTGTTGAGAGGTATCACGTCAAGGTGCGGAATTGGGTTCGAGCTTGCATTGCAAGCAGGAACAACATAAGGGGGCCCTGGTGGGACCACGCCCAATACGCTTGGAAATTTGCGGGCGGGCAATCGACCGTGTTCATTAGCAATGATGGGGTGGATGATTGATAGATTTCGTAATTGCCAGTAAAGAATTTACAGGAGTAGTCTTTGTAGGATAGCAACAGTTGAATGCTGATAGTGTTCTGTGAAATTAAAATGTCAGTAGGTAGTACTAATAAACGTATTTAATAATTTGCTGAGGATTTAATTACCAGATGTAAATGGCGTATCAAAATATAAAAATAAATTTAAAAAAATCGAACCAGAATTAATATACGGAATACATTCGTCACAAACAGTGTATATGTAGCAGATTTTGTAACAAGGTAACATTGACATATTGATTCATTATAGATAAATCCTGAAACGAACCGCAGGTTACATGTTACCGTCCCGTACATTTACCCAGCCTCACCAGTGCGGTATATCCATGCGTTCGGAAAATTCGAACAGGGGTTATTGGCCGAATCAATACTGGTTTTATCGGCAATTTACGACAGAATGATTGGTTCGCAACCTGAAAACACAACGAATATGCGCAAGACACGTCAGAATCGAAGTGATGAAACACATTGATAGTTACGGGACACTAGCAAATTCAAATTTGAGATGTTCGGCCGAGATCTTCCACACTAGATTGCACCAATCAGGACGATTTGGTACAAACACAAGCAGCGACTGCACGCGTGACGCGTGGTAGTCGAGTCACTCACCTTCATCAAAGCTGCTTTGGTGACATTCGAGATGTGCGGCGACGATTTGTCGCAGCAAATTGTCAGAATGTTATAATTGTCTAGCCTGCAGTGGGGTACTCCATAGTGAGTACAGCCCAATTAGGGTTTGCTATATGTATCCAACTGCTTGCTAGTGAAACCCCTCCTTTCTTCATTCTTACTTTCTACTGCTAATTCTGACACAAATTTCGTGAGTCGAGCGTCAAACTCAAACCTACGGGAAGGTAGGTCATCCATGCCCTTTGAAGCACCTGACAAAAGCGGTACGCCATTGCAGCTCTAATGCTGCTTTCACGTAAGGTTGGAAGACTGTGAATCAAGAAAAACAGGAATGAGAATGACTAAGTGAAAGTTGGGTACAAGAAGCAAACCCTAGAAAACTGTACCCCATATGTGCTACCCCACTCTAGCCTACAGTAGCTATGTCATATAAATCTGACACACCCCCATAGGCAAAGTGGGGGAGAACAAGGGGTCACAAGACCAGTCAAGCAAAGCAAAGCAAAAAACAAGCTCAGGGTGGATCACAAAGTCACCACACATTCCGAGCACAAGTTCAAGGCCACAAGGCCAGTTCACAAGCAGGAGTACACATATATATAAAAAGGCTAGACAAACAAGAGCAGGTATATATATATGTAACAGTACAAGCAAGGTCAAGAGGTGAGCAAGTGAGGCAAGGTAGGCACAAGGCCCAGCTGAGTACAGAAGCGCTGATGGTCACAAGGCGCAAGTGCCTTGGTGAAGATATCAGCAGTGTTGGCCTCAGAGGCCACGTACGCAAGACGCAGCTGACCACGCTGCTGCAGCTCACGAGCAAGAAAGTAGCGGAGAGCAATGTGCTTCGTTCTGTGCTCCAGTCGCTGCTCCCGATACAAGGCCAGCATGGCCTTGTTGTCTACGTACAGCACTGGAGGAGAACGAGGCAACTCTCCGAGGTCAGTCAGCAGGTAGGTGAGCCAGCGAAGCTCCTGTGCAGCCATGGCTCCTGCGTAGATCTCAGCCTCACAACTGGAGCCGAGAACAGAAGACGAGCGAGTAGCCCGCCACGAAACAGAGCCGGAACCAAGGCTGAAGGTGTAACCCTGTGACGACCGCTGCGTAGCCTGGTCGTCAGCCCAAGAAGCGTCTGCGTGCCCAGTAAGGACCACTGGACTCTGCCCTCCAAGCACAAGCCCCATGCCCGACGTACTGCACAAGTAGCGCAACACCCTCTTCGCTGCAGCCATGTGCTCCGGTCTGTGTCTCCCAGGAGCAACATAGCGTGCAAGAATGCTAAGAGGGTATGCAAGGTCAGGTCGTGTGCAGGTCATCAGGTACATGAGGCAGCCAACAAGCTCTGGGTACGGGCCACTCGACTCTACGGACTCATCCGAAGGCAGAGCTGAGAGCGAGTGGCGAGTAGGCAGAGGAGTGGCCTGAGGCGAGGAGTACGTGAAGCCGAAGCGCTGAAGGACCTGCTGCACCATGTGTGACTGAGTCAGGGTAATGGTGCGGCGTGCTCTGTCCCGAGTGATCTGCAAGCCAAGGTAGCTGCGCAGTTCACCCAGGTCAGTGCACGTGTGTCTCTTCTGCAGCTCGGACTTCACGTGGGCTAGTCCAGCAGTGTCAGCTGTGGCAAAGACCAAGTCGTCGACGTACACGAGGATGTAGAACGGCGGCAAAGAAGTGTCGGTGCGCAGAAACAGCGACGGGTCGGCAGTAGAGGGAGCAAACCCAAGAGCCGCAAGTGTAGTCCTCAGTGTGTCGTGCCACTCACGCGGTGCCTGGTGGAGACCGTAGACTGGCCGCCGTAGGCTCCACTGGGTGCCAGGAGGAAAAGACCCAGTGAAGCCAGGTGGGCGACGCAGCCAGATCTCCTCGTGCAGGCTGCCCTGCAAGAAAGCAGTGCTAAAGTCAAGAGAGTAAAGCTCGTAGTCACGGTGAGCAGCTACGTGCAGCAGTACCCGAAGAGTGGTCATCTTCGGGGTGGGAGAGAAGGTCTGAAAGTAGTCAACTCCCTGCCGCTAACTGAAGCCACGAGCCACGTAACGCGCCTTGAAGACAGGCGGAGAACCCGGCGGTCGCTTCACCCTGAAAATCCACATGCCACTGACGATGTTCGCCCCAGGAGGGGGAACAGCGTCAACGTAGGTGCCTGTGGACTTCCAGGAAGCCATCTCTGCGTCCATAGCTGCCTGCCACTGAGAGGAGTAGGGACCCTCTATCGCCTCCGCGTAAGAGCGCGGAGTCGGGATGTCAAGTGCATCCGGGTCTCCCTCAGGGGTAAGCAGTACGGACACGAGATGAGGTGAAGCAGCGGCCAAGCACTGGAACTCCTCCTGCCTGTCCTCAAGGACGTCCGTGCCAAGGGCACACTCACCCCCGACGGACGGAGGACAGACAGACTCAGACTCAGCAACAAGACTGGCGACGTAGTCTAGGCGACAGCGAGCAGCAAAGTCGACGAGCTCAGCAACTAGAGCAGACGCAGCAGTGGACTCAAAGAAAGGGTCAGTGACAACCGTAGCAAGGAGACGCGTGACAGTAGGACTGGCAGCGCGAAGAGAGTCCGACTCCGGGTCGGCAAGAGTAGGAAGAGAAGACTCAGGAGGAGAAGGCAAAGGGGCACGCAGAGGAGCAGTGGACGGACGCAGAGACATCCGGCGCGCGGCGACTCCAGACACAGGAGGGACAGCACCAGCACCCGCAGGGGCAGCACCAGCACCAGAACCCCCAGCAGCACCAGTAGTACCCCCAGCAGGACTGCCTCTAGGACCGACAGCAGTAGCCTCCGCGCCAACACCCGCAGCAACTCCAGCTCCAGAAGTACCCGCAGGTCCAGCAGCTCCAGAACTCCCAGTACGAGCACCTCCGGGACCCGTGGCACCAGCTCCCTCAGAAGCAACAGAACCTCCAGTACCCGCAGCACCTCCAGCTCCAGCAGCTCCAGCAGCTCGCCTCCAGCGCCGGGCAAACCACTCACGCAGCTCCTGGGGAGAGAGTGGCTCTCGGCGAGAGGGAGCACCCGGTGAACCGCCAGGCACAGCACCACCAGGCGTAGTACCCCCAGGCTCAGCACCTCCAGGCGGAGTACCCCCAGGCTCAGCACCCCCAGACGCAGCACCCCCAGGCTCAGCACCCCCAGGCGTAGTACCCCCAGGCTCAGCACCCCCAGTCGTAGTACCCCCAGACTCAGCACCCCCAGGCTCAGCACCCCCAGGCTCAGCACCCCCAGGCGTAGCACCCACACGCTCAGCACCCCTAGAGTCAGCACCCCCAGGCTCAGTACCCTCAGCAGCACCAGAGTCACCAGCGACCTCGACAGGCTCAACAGCGTCTACCTGGGACACACCTGAAGGGGCAGGACCCTGAGGGGGGGAGGGGGTCTACCGGGGGGGGACCTGGTACAAGGAAGAGCGGTGGCGGGGGGAAGGACGGAGTGCGGTCGGGGAAGAGGCGGTAGTAGGGGACCGACTCGTCGAACGTGACGTCCTGGGAGGACAGAACACGGCGAGAGGTGGGGTGGTAGAACTGCCACCCTGGGGCGTCAGGGGGGAAACCCAGGAAGACGCAAGGAGCAGCACGAGGGGACAGCTTGTCCGCAGACAAGTCGCGGACAAACGCCCGAGATCCCCAGACACGGAACGCAGACGCATCGCCAACCTTCCCCGTCCACAGCAAAGCTGGGGAGGTCTCCGGCATGGAGACCCTGGGCTGAAGGTTGATCTGATGCGCCGCGTACCGAACCGCAAACGGCCACAGAAAATGGGGGGCAGCCGCATGCATCATGGACGTACGGGCGACGTCCATGACCATGCCAATGCGGCGCTCAGCAATCCCATTTTGCTGTGGAGAGTCCGGAAGCGTGAAGGTCTGGCGGATGCCTCGTGCACGACAGTAGGCTCGCAGAAGGCCAGAGGAGAACT